TACATTATGCAAATACATGCGTTTGTCAATGCTAAAGTATGCTAATATATACGTTTTTTATACTTAATTATTCCAATGTGTGTTGCTTTACTAAATGATCCTTATTAATACTAATGGGTCAAGGTTAAATGGTGCTCATTCGCATGGCTGTTGATATGTTTAACAAAAATTAATTAACGGAAGTACAGCTGCAAGATAAAGTTAAAATCATTACCCATAGTATGTCCTTATAAGGCGACCTCATAAGTTTTGAAAATAAATTTCAAAACCTACCATATGATTTTCATGAATAATTTCCGTGTTCCACAGATATTTAACAACGTCATCAGAAGATGTAAACATGGTCTATCTCAATAAAGAGGGTTCATGAGATTTGATAGAAATGCTTTTTTGTTCGAACATATTCATTAAATCTTACTTATATATTGTATATTAGATGATGCAACGAATTATTTTATAAATAAAAGTGAAATTTAATTAGCTTCAACTCTATTTTCGATAATTCTACCTATATAAAAATGTATATACATTTTATAACAAAGGAAGTCTTGGAAATCATTAAATGTTAATTCCTCTCCATGCAGTTACAGTAAATTTTCAATTTTAAGATAGCTAGATGAAAACTTTTATGATTCTTTGTAAGTTCTAATTAATTCTTTTGATCTATTTACAATTCTTACTGCATTCGGAGTTGAAGGAGAAAAAAAAGATTTGGGTAATGAATTTACATTTCTGTTGACGCTCAATACCATATAGGTTAACTACCCTTTAATCACTTCTGGTATTTATGTCGTCATTTCCGATCAGAAGCGGTCAGCTAAATTGAAAGTGTCAAATAGTGGGAGCTGTTTATCAATACATAAACAAAGATATGATTACTTTATGAATTATGACCACCTCTTAGATTCAAATCGTATTACGTTAAACATACAAACACGCGTCAATTCACGTGGCGATGCTCACTAGGACGCCTTGTTACCACTGACACCTTCGGCACGTGAAACTACTCGATCATATCTCGGTCCTTAATGAAATGATAAACATCTTGTACTAACGAGGGTAAAACATTCCCGACATTTTAAGAGGTGTATTTATTTTTCAGTAAAAAGGGAGAAACGACAAGAGTTGCATGTTCGATCCCGCTACTACAACCGAAATTACAAATAGAATTTCGGATAAGACAAAGATTCCGTGTATTATTAAGATTTATGCCAGAACGAAATTGAAAAAAAGATACTAGTTACTTCTGTAACGGAGAATCTGTGACTTTTTTTAAAAGATCAAATCACACATATGCGTTTACTTAAAAGCATTCTGCGCAAGTTACATCTTTGTAAAAGATGAAAAATAATAAGCCAGGGTGACAAGTGCGTTCTAAGTAAAAATAAATAAAAGTAAAAATATATGATTAACAAATGAATGAAGGGCCCAGATTCGAACAACCAATATTCATTTGAACTTAATTCATTCTAATCGAATGTATGAACATATGAAATTCATGCGTGCGTTCTTTCGTTTTTGTTTTTGTTTTTTTTATTATTATTTTGTTGTTGTTGTTGTGTTTTTGTTTGTTTGTTTGTTGTTTGTTTTTGTTTTTTTATCGGGGGGGGGGGGTACATATTTCAAATATTTTGAGAGGTTTATGATAACCTTGTTTAGTTATCTGTTTATTTTTTATTATTTGTGCGGAATAATTTTTTGCGCATAAGTTTACCCTAAAAAGCCATGGCTGTGTTTGAAATGTGACTTATATAAATGTATAAAACTAGTTTAACATACTTTGCTTTGTCCGTGTAAAGAATTTACATTAAAATTCTTCTGGTGCTGTTTTGACAATAGTTTTCATCTAAATTTGTTACTTTTTGATGTATTTTACTTAGCCAAATAAAATACGGTATGTGCGATAAGCAGAAATAAGGTTTAATTGAATTGCAGTTTAAAGGTAAAAAGAAAAATAAAGTCCCATTAATTATAATTTTGTGAAACGGGTTCATTTTTTTAGAATCAAAGCTTTGGCAAGATGTCTAGACATTTTCATGGACAAATAAAATTGAAAATGGTACATGTATCATAATGCTGAGATTTATTGTGTTGCTATAATAGTGTTCATTGAATATAGAAAAAAATATATCCAATTGTCATATCAAAAGAGGAAAATGGGAAGTCATTTGATAAAAAAAATTGTTTTGTGATGAAAGGTTTTATTTCAATCAATTAACAATACAAATTATCTAAGATTGCTATATTTTGTAAATCATTCGAACGGTTGAATTGACTTTTAAATTTAACTTCTATAAATAATTTTCTCTTCATTTTTTTCATTTAAATTTATGCATAATCTACTTAGTTCGAATATATTATTTGGTTTGGTTTTTAGTCAAACCAAAGCTGTGAAGGTCATGAGGCGAATTCATTCTATAGCTTTATTGGTACAGGACAACACTGGCGTCGCTGCATGATCGAGTAAGCTTTCTTGGAAAGTTCTAACACAATTAAGGAATCTAAGGGGGATCCTGAACCCGCAGCGGTGCTAGTAAGAGATTCGAATTATGAGACCTTAAACCACTCGGTTAAGGCGTCCCGCAAGACAGTTGTATTTTTACGTAAACACAGACATATTACAAAATGACAGACAATGCATCACGAATTGGCTATACTGCGTTGTTGGCACCAATGGATTCTGTGCGTTATATTGTCGATCTAAAGCATTTAAATAACATATTATTGGAATCATTTGAATTCCATGCCATAAATAGTATATGGATTTAAATGAATTAAATTATACAAGTGCACTGTAATTAATTCTTCATTTACTGACAGTTACGGACTCTACCCATGTGACCGGAGCAGACAAAACTTAATCGACACATCCATGTTTTGTCCAGTTTGAAAGATGGACAAATTTATTTTTAAAAAATCATATTTAGCTTAGTAGCTAGATAATAGATCGATAAGAGAGCAAATTTTCTGAAATTTGCAGTAATGTACTCGTATATCCGAAATTGTAAAACTTTTAGGCGTTTTGTACAAAGCGTATTTTGAAATGATGATAAAAAGTGGTAGCCACATGTTGGACCAGTAGGAAAAATGTAAGTAACGTCAAAAATCCTGCGTTATGATTCTAATCAGAAAGCCCGTGGTGAAAGCAGGTGACTGACCAGAATTAGCCGAATAAATTCCTCTCTCTCACTTACTATAAACAATTTATATTGTAAGTAATTATAGAAATCAGCCACTTATTGTGCGTACACTTGAAACCTGCCATAGACAGCCTCCTTGTGTGGTTTATGAAGTTCCTTGCGGTTCAATTCGGCTCATTTTCGGTAATTTATTCGGAATAAAAATAAGAGATTAATTTCATAATGGCAAACATATGACGTATTCACATAACGTAGAGGAAAAACAGAAGATTACCAATTTTCCGAGCGACATCTCGTAATAAAGTAATAAAATAATCCTGAAGTGTAAAATATCTTACGGTGGGGGTAAATTTATTTTTTATTCGTTCGTTCGCTCCTGCGCTCTCTTGTTGTTCTTTCATCCATCTGTACCCTCGTTCGTTCGTAAGTTCGTTTGTTTTTTCTTTCATTTGCTTCTTAATTCATTCATTTGTTCACTAATCAATTTACTTTAGATAAAATTAATCTAATATGCATCTCTGCTTTATAACATTTATTGAGATATCGGTACAAAATCTTAATGTATAAAACTGGCCAGAAAATAAAGTTCACAATAAACGCACATATAAGAAACACATATACATTGGCCAACATTACTAGGAAAAATGACTTAATCAGCAATTTTTTTTCCGATGTAAATTCTACCGAAAGTGCTATTCATACTTTATTAGTAACAAAATGTCATAACTTGTTGTGTCAAACTTTTGCTTGTTACTTTACATTATACATAGTTAAATGACAAAATTATTTCCCAATTGCACAGTAACTTTTGCTTGAATCTTTCTTTCTTTCTTTTTAATTTTCTCTTTTTTTCGTTCCTCCACTCTTGTTCTTTCCTTTTCTTCTAATGTCTTAACTTTTTTTCATTCCTTGTTTGTATCAAAGTCTTATTTTTACCTGAACCATTTACGATTATGAACAATATCTTAATATCTTGACAATTTGTTACAGTAAATGAAACCTATCTTATATGTTTGAAGTAAAAAAAATAAAATAATAGTCGAAATATATTTGTTACATCGGGATTCTTTGATAGATTAAATAATAATAATTCTCAGGACTAAGATCCGGTTCTGTACATTTAGACTTTAACTTTCTTTTCTACACTAAAAATTAGCGGCTGTAAACTGTCTGTATTATATCCACCATTCCTCTGTCAAAAATTGGGTCAAGGGTCGTCAAACGCCTGATTTCTTGAATACGTGATCTGTGCCACCCAGACGCTTGGCACGGTGACGATGAAAGAATGACGTCAAGGGGCCATGGGTCAATGATGATTTACGACTAAAAACTTCATGATCTGCGTTCTATAACTTTTATACCTAAAATTGACGGTCACAAATCTCAAAACAAAATTGTTATCTTAGGACGCACATACTTTTTATTTCATTTTTAAACATTCCACAAAAACTTCGGGCTTATCGCATTATTATGAAAGTTTTTTAGAAGTATAAAAAACTGGGTAAATTAAATGCATTGTTCCGAAACTGTAAGTATAGACTTGCAATGACATAAATATTAGAACACCTCGTAAAGTGATTTGAGAGCAATTTCAATACAAATGATTACGACTGATAATAATTTTCTCAAAGATCTGGCAGAATCATAGGTTAAATCATTGATTGGCAGTTACCGCCGCTAGCGGGCCTATCAGTCATATCCAATCGCATTATCCGTGTCTCGATTTACACGAGATATAACGAGATCTAGATATATCTAGTGAAATGGATGCTGGGAAGCAGACGAACAAGTGTGAAAGAAAGTGGGAGGAGTCGGAGGCAAGATAATTGTTTGGTAATTACCCCACCCACCTTGTCATAATCTCTAAACCCGCTAAAACTGCAAACAGTTTAGCAGAACGCCTGATACAGATTGACTTTTGTTTGTAAATTATTTCCCGGATAATTTAGATAAGGACATGTGAGATATTGGAAGCAAATCGCCACTTTGTATATTTTTGTGAGTTTTTGTGTATTTGTGTGATTTTGTTCGCTTTGGGTTTTTGTTTCATATTTACGTTTGTCGTGCGTTAAGTTTGCTGCTATTTATTTAGAATAATCAAACAGTCTGTGTTAACGAGTGGAAGTATTGTCAACAAAGGATTAATTTGAAATCATTACTGTTGATTAGTTTACCTATCAGTAAATAAGACATAACATAACGGTTTACAAACGATGATTTAAAAGGAGCAAAAAACAAAAAAAAATACAACTATGGATGGCCCACACTTAGCTCCAGAAATAAAGCCGCTTGACTCATTAGATCATCTAGATGACATTGACGAATCCTTGACAAATATACATGGAGACGCAGGCGATGATGATGACGATGATGGGTCTCAGAATTCAACGAATATGTCAGATACATCCGAATGCCAGAAATCGCAGAAGAAATCAGCCGTCGGCGTCAGACGACAAGAAAAGCCGCCATACTCTTATATAGCCCTGATAGTGATGGCCATTCAAGCTTCACCGAATAAAAGATGCACATTGAGTGAAATTTATCAATTTCTACAACAAAGATTCCCTTTCTTTAGAGGAGCATATCAGGGCTGGAAAAACTCAGTACGACATAACTTGTCTCTAAACGAATGTTTTATTAAACTTCCCAAAGGACTCGGGCGCCCTGGCAAAGGTCATTATTGGACCATTGACCCTTCGGCTGAGTTCATGTTTGAAGAAGGATCTTTCCGTCGCCGACCAAGAGGTTTTCGAAGGAAGTGTCAAGGTTTGAAACCGTTTGGAATGTTCAACATGAATGGAATGGGGACGTCTTCATCTATGCTTTCACCACATTACGATCTGTTCCACCAAAACAACATGGCGGCTATGAACATGACGTATGGAATGAACGCTACCCCTGCATATGACAATACTGCATTGATGCCATCTAATAATAGTTTTCAGCAACCAAGTTATAATTCTATGCAACAACATAGTGCAAATTTAGCTAGCTGTAGTTTTAATGTTAATGTAAATGTGAACGGGAGATTCGGACCTAACTGTGCCATGACAAACTCCATGTCTAACATGAACGCTGACTATGCTCATATGTCAAATGTTAACTCTTTACCCCCACCTGTCTCAAGTTCGATGCCTATGTACGACAGGGACACAATGGTTTCGAACCCACTCGCGTCAAATATAGCTTCCCAATGGCCTCCAGCAACACAGCGGTATATCAAGCAGCCGCCAATGAGTCCGACCGGAAGTACAGGTTCGGTTCCAAGTATGTCTCCAAACAGCAGTGAGCACTCGCCGTACCAACTCAGCAATACGACGTCAACATCGGAGCCCGTGGATCTTGCTTTAGCAGGTGCGTACATAGTCATCCTAAATTGATAATTATGCAATGATAACGTTGTCAATTATCTCTATCTTTAACCAATAACGTAAATAGCCTATCATCGTTTTTTGTCCTGCGTAGATATAATATTTCAACAATTATATTAAGTATATTTAGCGATAAGAAACAAAAATTAATTCAAAATTTAAAAAAGAAAATACTAGATTTTTTTTCTTTCTAAAACATCATAAATAATTTCAATTATTTTAACCGCAGACTTGAAAATTGAATTAATATCAAAGACATTTCTTGCCTTTTAAAAATATATAAAACCACAAAAAATGATAATGAAAGACGACAGAAATATGCTACAAGATATAAACCAGTTTTACATCGTCGTATTGAAAATGATTGTTTCTTGTCAAAAAATGCAGTTTTCTTCCGAATTATCTCTTAATGGCCGTGCCTAAGTAACGGTTTTATTAGTCTTAGATAAGATCACTCGTTTGCTTATGATACATATAAATTATAAGCACTTTATTCCGGCACTCGCTCCCCAATTTGATAGAACTCTGACCTAAACCGTTATATTTTCGAATTAAAGTCAAGATTTTGACATAATTGCGCGGTAATGAGGACACGTGCTGCACGTGTTATCAATGCAGCCACTGTATGCACGTTATCAGATTGAGTTTTATGGCCTCGGACGTAATGTGACTCCAGTTTATATTTATGGTTTTTGTCTTTTTTGAAAATAGATGTCTATTTTCATATATTCATTTATTTCTTTACGTGTTCCCTATATCAGTATAACCATATCCTTGATTAAAATAAATAGGCTTTCAAATTGAGATTATATTAATAAGTATATTATTTGCGTATCTTTAGAACAAATTAGTTAGAGTTTGAGACATATCCGTATAACTATGACATATTCTTGTAAATTTTGATTCTAAGCAAATCATTATCTACAGAATGTACGAATTTATTTTTTAAGCCGCAACTTGCTTTTTCTGTAGGATGACGGGCCTTGACGAACATATTTCATTAAGTTATTAAAATTGTTCTTGATAATTCTGTTTTTGTGATTTTTTACTTCTTTTCATAAGTATTCATGAACGTGCAGGACACACACAATTTCAATCAGTGATATTCCTAAATAATTAAAAAAATCGTTAAAACTTGCTTCAAAAAAAAAGAAAAAAAAAGAAAGAAAAAAAACGGAATATAATAAAGAAAGAAAGAAAGAAAAGAAGACAAACAGATATAATAATAAAAAAAAAAAATAATAATAATAATAATAATAATAATGATAATGATAAGTAAATATATATTTTTTTTTTCGATCTAGTCTAAGAAAAAGTGTCGCCTTCAATCAATCTTTGTATAATAAACAAAAGTGCAACTCTTGGATCTTTTTAATAATTAAGTTATGAAATAAAAAAATAATTATCAAATTATCTTTTTAAAATTGTGAAATTTATAAGTTAAATTGTCAATGGTTTTAAAAAGATATATGCAGATATAATGAAATAAACAAAAATAGTATACAATTAAAATAACTCAAATAAAAACATGTCTACCATAATATTGTACATGCCATAAACAAAGTTCAAAAAACCTCGCACACGATTCTAATAACTATTTAACACAGCAATCTGTGGGGTCGACAAAAGAAAACACTAAACTCCTATGTACAAATGTTAGCTCAAATAACCAACCATTACATGGGTCATTTCAAAACTCACACGAAGGCCATAGCCCTTTTTTTCAATGTTTAAGCGGCAGTATTTTCCCAGCAAACCTGTTTTATTTTATATCTTTTTGTAACATATTCAAGCCTCATAACTTTTCAATAGATAACAGTGAGAGGAAAGTGACTTTTATTATTTTAAGGGAGAAATAATGTGTAAAACACACAGTGGTCGTGTTGCTAAAATATCCTTTCTTATCTTAGTGTGTATTCACATATCTATTTGAGAAAATACGAACTAAAAAAATCCCATTGAAAAAAAAATAAAAGTGGGCAATGAAGTAATAATATGCTTTGATGGTCAACAATTTCACACAATCTTTTACAAAAAGAGTATATCTTTCTACCAGTTCGTTTTTGTTTGTAACAATAGTGATTTTTTGTAACTTTTTTTTATTTTTGTACACATGTCAATCTGCTAAAGTGACGTACTATAGGACATATATTGGGGTGGAATTATCTCATTTTTCTAACCTGCATATCATAAAAATGAATCAATAATGGCATATTATTGTTTTAGTAATATGAACAGAACAGAACATTACAGAACAGAATATAGATTTCCTTTTCCGGACTTGAGCACAGCTCCACGTTCACACAAACAATATTGTAGAGAGAAACAAATATATATACATGTAATGTATTGTAACTCATTGCTTGCTTATAGCAACCGAATCTTCCCACGTGACCAGTGCCGACCATAATCAGTCGGCACATCAGTGGTGTCAAATCATGGTCTGCATTGTTCGCTATTCAGTCCGCACTTATTTCGGAATTTTCTCAGATGTCAGACTGGTTTTTATTTTTATCCAGAATGACAGATGGAACTATCCATTTAACTTGTTTAGCCCTGGTTATGGTTAAACAGTGAAAATGCTTATATTCGCATCCGCAAATATTTAAAATCGAATTGTGCAGTATACATGTATAGGTTAAAACCACAGTGACCAGTCTATCAATAAAAAAATAACATTATTTTTCTCTCTCTTAATAATGCGGTAGAACAATTATAGTGAAACAAAAATGGATTTTAAACCGATACGTCGTGTTCAATAGTCGATAATTCCTGGATTTTCAAACCAAAATGATATTTGAACAAATGAATATAGATTGTATATTTCTAGCTGTACTTTTGCCTGCAAAATATGAAATATAGAGTCAAATATGCTACAAATTGTATATAAAACAGCAATATTTATTTATTTATTTATTTATTTATTTATTTATTTATTTATTTATTTATTTATTTATTTTGTTCCAGACATAAAGTATTTTAAACACAGTCGAATAAACTAAAACGTATTTTCTTAAAGATTATCACAAACATAAGACTTTTTATACTTTTATTCCTTAAACTAGCAGACGGCTTTGAAGATTTATGGACGAAATATTGCAGAATCCGGTGCACTCGTACAAATTACTTTCCCGTGATATTCACTGATAAAAGGGGTCGTTGTTCATAGATCGTTTGTTATTTGTCTTATCTTTCAAATAAATAACTTTGTTACAAATGTTATCTCGGGAAAGCCACAGTTAGGTAGACATTTAGATACGGTAACTCTAGCGACATCTATATTCTCCAAGTAGCCGTCGGATTATTTGCGATTAGCCCTAAATCAATCATTTTAATGTATTTCTGCATGTTTTATGTATATTTTCGTTGGCCGGAATTTCTTCATGTATTAATTAATTCACGCCTGTCACTTTTTCGTACCATTTGAAAAAATATTGCTATTTCAAATGTGGGAAATATCTGAAAATTGTAACGGCGAGAATTGAAGTAAAATTTAGGTAAATAGTCAGCAGATAAATTGTTAGGAACAAAATTTGCACTGTGGATTAAGAGACGTTTGTATAACAAAGACATGAAATTCGTTTTTTTACTTTCTCTCTCTAAAAATAATAATAATGAAAAGATTTCTATTAATTTCAAAAAATGTATAAATATTGGCACAAAAGGACTTTGACGTTTACAATCGCTATCGTATTTCAAATAGAAATAAAATAAAGAAATATATATGAAATATACACGCACATTTAACCATAATTATAGTATACTAGCAATGATTAAGGATTTTCATGTCACCAGTATCGAGCCATATAAACTTAACATCTTACAATTAAATGTATTAACACAAGTCCCACTATATATCATAGTGTAAACCGAACGAAACATCATCTTACGAAAAATGAAAAAGTGTTGAAAAGAAGAAAACACCAACAACAATGCTGGTATTATTTACTTCTTTGACCTGTCAATATTGACATTGGGCATTTTGTATATTACATTGAATCAGTATCACATTATACGGTCTAGATGCTCAATAGAAAATAGCTGTTTCTTGGTCTTTCAAATAATCATTTGATTTCATATTAAAATAAATCTAGTTGAAGATTAAAAAGTGTCCGAATACGTTGTGCTAGAAAAAGTACAAAATTCATTATATAGTAGTACAAAATTGCCTTAGAATGCCATAAATTATTTGTCTTAAGGTGGTTAACAGAAAAATAGTTATCAAAATATACTTGATTCACAATTGATTCAAGAATTTTATTATTATCTTTTTTCATTTTTTTCTAATACCCTTAAGGAATAGTACTTATAAAATGAATTAGCGTTGATTTTATATCCTTTACTCTTATGGATTCAATAATAATATTAAAGCAGCACGTCTCCAGATTCATGCTAATTTTTCAGGAAAATTCGAAAACGTTTTTAAAAGTAAAATATTTTTTAAAAGAGAACAAAAAAGTAATTAACATATTGCAAACGGCAATTAAAATCAATGTAAATTTCCGAAAAAAAGGTCAAAATGTGCAAAATGCAGCTTTAATAAAGAAAATAAATTTCACTTTTAAGTTATGTAATTATTTCATCTTTTCTATATGGCTTTTTTTGCATAAATATTTCAGCTCTTTTAAAATATCATATAAGATATCTTTTATTTTGTCAAGTACGAAAAAAATAGATCCTGCCAAACTTCATGCAACAGGTGGTGGGGGTATTACTGCGCAGCTTTCTAGCACAATCGATCTTTGTGATGCACCGTATGACTGCCTGTGACACGTTGTTCCCCAGATAGCCGTTCGTGTAACACGAGATAGTCGTGCATGTAACACACTTAATTAGCATCATTAATCTTCCGCTTATTAACTGATTTACCTCATACAAACAATTACCCCTTGTCAACACCACGGGTGACCCCCACAACGCGCGCAGCGAACTTCCGGAAATGTCTATGCTTAAGCCTTATTTAATAATCCAAAGTTAGCTGTGAGCAGTCACAGTAAAATATCAAGATTTTAGAGTTTTCAAAATATTCATTTATTCCATCTGAAAATCTGACCTATAAGCAAAGTAGGTGTAAATAGTCATTTGCTTTTCACGACACGTTAATTTTTGTATATTTTTTTCCTTTTCATTTATTCATTATTTGATTTGATTTGAGGCAAAAACATTTACAAAATACCGAAATCTGGTAAAAAATAAATATGATCCAATTTTTATTCTGTAAAATAAACTTTCTCGGCATTGCTTATTTGTTCTATAGGTTCTGCGAAAGACTTGCATATTTTAAATATATTCAAATCTAATTTGAAAGTAACTTTTTGAAAGTTCCTTTTCAGGGATAAATGTGAACTCGGCTATATGAAAGGTTTCATATAGAATTTTATAATTATCATGTCCTTTGTAATTTCCGGCATAAACATATATTGTATGTTCAATGCATTAGAGTTATCCGTGTTCAATTTTTTGAGTTTAGTTTGCATAAAGAATTGATTATAATTTCATATAATAGCAGTAATGTTGTGCATTAAATTCTAAAAATGTTATGTTTCAACTCACACTCAGCTAGAACCGAAATTGAAAGGTTAGTCTTTACCACCGGCGCAGAGCTGGGCCATTCTGCACAACCGTGCAGCCATCAAACTATACACTGCTTGCTGGCTTATACCTAAATTTACATCTTGAACCCCCAAAATGTGCTAAATGGACTATTCCAAAAATGAAAGCTGGACAAGTCCATTTAAGAAATTGAGCAGTTTCAGGGTTAATGAGATAATGTTTTTGATTTACCCGATCTGCATCATTATTAACAACAACAGTAAATCTCTGAGATAGAATTTCAGGAAGCGATGTTTTAATCAGCTATGCAACAAATATAATGTTGGTAGATGTAAATATTTACGTATGGGTGTCGGGCAAATATAAACCAAGTTGATAAAATTTCTTCACTTAATTTCCAGCTCTATATATCAAATTTATTAGCTATACCACTATTACACAGCTTCGATTAAATGTAGATTCGATGACATTTTTATCGTAAATTATTATTTTCGACTTAATGACATTCTTCGGAAATAGGAAGGAACTTAAATAAACTCATTTTCTTAAGTACAAAATGATTCATCCACTTTAACATACTGACATACCGCTTTTTAGCAATGTATTATATAAGGTACACATAAACTGACTGATTGGTAACGATGGCAAGTGTCAGTCCTCATTCATTATTTCAAAACGGCCGGGTTTAGTTTTTGTTTTGTTTTGTTTCATTTGTTTTTATTCTATTTTAATTTTTTTTTTAATAGCTTATTATTACAAAAAGTTTAACTTTTATCAATACAAAATTTAATGAATATGCATGCATACATAACAGTTAAAAACAACAAACAATAAGAAAACGGGGGAAAGTTACCACATGGTAAAACGGATAATATATATATCCTTTTTGTTTTGTTTTTTTTAGAATAAGTTGAATTCAAACACTGGATTTCATTTTAAAAATTTACAAAAAATTTGCTTATTAAATCCGCAAGAAATAATTGACATAACAGAAAAAAGGAAAAATATATTACTGTTAAAATGTACATGTAATAAACATATATATAGTTTTAAGTACACAATATATTCATGGCATCAATTTTTGAACTTTTAAAAAACAATATAAATATCCTCATTAAACAAGTATGAAAATTAGATGGTTTAGTCAATCAGCTCCTCATTACGCGCGAATTTCCAGTAACCTCGAAAGATAACCTCTGGGGAGTCGGGCTCTATTTTCTTTTCTGTGTTGTAGCTGACCTCGCAGACATGCACGTGATTAGTGTTAAGTGGGATAAATGGTCAGTGACGTAACGTCATCCGCAGAACGGCAAATATATGTATTATATAGGTTTTAACTTTGCTTATAAGCCATTCACAATGTGCATGTACATTATGTGCACTCAGCATTATTAGTTTATTACCGCTAATATCTATTGTACAAAATTGTAATGTTTGTAGAGACCACGTGACGAAAAAAAATGTGCATGTATACAAATTCATATGAAATAGTGAGTGTTAATTCTCAAAATTATTTTTCATTCACAACATTAAGGTACACACTCTATGGTAGTTTGTCTTTTATTATTAAGAAACCGGTGTTAATTATTTTGTTAAGCAAGACCATAATACTTATAAAGAAGTAAGAAAGATCCGAAGATATCAATGCAGTGGTTTCAATTGAAAATACAAGTTTGTTGTTTTTTCATAGTAAGTCTGTGTTTTTCCTTCACAGAAAACATATTTTTTCGTTGTTGTTTTTTACAGAAAAATCATAAGTTTTCATTTTCTGTTTTACGACATATTTAGCGTCTCAGCAGCAATTAGAATTAATAGTACATGCATGTCTGTCAATGATAGTGCTAGTTTTATATTTTATCAGTCAGTTTCAAGAAGGGACATTATTTGATATGTTCCCGGCGTCACCATTAACTACATGCATACCATACTGTCTGCATCTGTCAGTACCAGTCGTTGAAAACTTCATCTGAAAAGTCTGACTGAAAAATGTATTTCACTGTAACGTGATTTACGTGCCTACGAAATGTGAAATTTTAGAATATCTAAAAATTGTTGTTAATATAGTGTACCTTTTCCATACATGAGATAATTTACGGGAACACGTGATAATTCATGAAAAAATCTTAAAAAATTAGATTAAAGTTCATAACGAATTGTCCGAACAACTTTCATGATTGGTTTTGACAACAAAAACAAAGCAAAAACAAAATGTCTACAATGGTCGACAGAACACGTCAAAGTATAAATAAGTTTAGTTTTGTCGTTGTATAAATCTTAAGTAAATTTTTGGTGAACAAATGTAAATGTAATTTAAGCCAACAATGGGCACTTACAATTTACAAAAAATATTTTAACTTGTCTAAAATATAAATACAAATTGTAGAATTTGCAAAAGATATAGCGTCTAGTCCGTTGGTAAACGACTAGACAGAATGAGCAAATAGTACTTAACGTAGTCAAACCTTGCACAGTACATTCAAAGCACCACACAGATTGCTGCAATAATACATGTGTTTTGATACGATTAAAGGTACATTACGCACAAACACAATATCATATTCATTTCTCAAAAAAAAATATATATATATATATAATAAGTAAATAAATAAAAAAGTGTCCTGTTTAAATTTCTAAAAAAAAATATATTATTAGTGTCATGTTGCAATTTCTAAAATTAAATTGACTTTACATTGTTTTTCACCCAATTAGTACAGTTATAGTGATTAAGTATTTTGAACTGAAGTCAAAGTACCTCTATTTGTTAACGTTTTGCTACCTTTATGGCAAATCATTTTATATTCAGCCTTACTAAATTACGGTGATAAGCAGAAGATTCTTTGAAACAATATCAAAAATATTTGTCCCTTTTAGTGAATAAAAAATACTTAGCATTAATTTCTGAGGCATAATATGGTTTTATTTAAATTTTGTAAACCCATCTGGAGGTGTACAACGTAACAACTATTAACAACCAAACTTCTATTGCTTTCTTTATAAAACTAACAAATGGAACGCATCATTCGGCTTCAAAAGAGACAAAAAATAAGAATTTTGAAACGCTTAACCTTTTTAAAGTTTAGAATCGTGGGATGTAGAAATATGATAATTTGTACACGGATCTTTTCACCGGTTGATGTGAAAATCTGGGGATTGTTTAGTGTACTGAACGACCTTTGTCAGTTAATAACCTTTATGAAAACATCTGCTCAAGTTCTCCTAAATTCTAAATTATAGATTATATCATTTCCACGTTTAAATCTTGAAATCTGCTCAAGCCGGTGCTAGGGAGGGTTTGTTAACGGTATTTTACGTTCAGGAACAGGTTCAGTCAACAAGTTTGATTTTACTATGTTGGACGACCTTTTAAGACTTCTATTTTGATTATTTCAAGAACTTTGAAATGTTTATAGGACCTTTCAAAAATGAAAATCGTAACCATTCTGACTTTGAACGTTTTGATTTTTCTATAATTATAACATAGCATGCCTATTTCTAAAATAAAAATAACTATTTACATGAGGGATAGGACAAAACTATAAATAACACTGATTGTAACTGTTCAATTCAAGTCATTTCAACTCAATTTAATTGACAATATAAATGAATAATAATAAATAGTACATTCTGTATCATGATTACAGGAAAATACTCTTTAAGAAGTATAATTAATATACATTTGTTCTAACAAAAAGTTGTTATATTATGCATCGAAAAAAACATGACAAGGTTTTATTTATTTATTTATTGATCAATTTCTTGCCTTTTTTGCTTTTTTGTACTCCCAGATGATCAAAATGCAGTTATTTTGAATTGCATTTATTTTCTATGGTACAACACACAATATTATATCCTCTAAAATAATGCAAGTTCGGATGTGTTAATGCAAGTTCCATTGACAACAAGGCAATGTCTCCATTCAAATATCATTACAGAATTCTGCAAATATGTATCCAATTCTTGTAAAAGTGCTTCTTTTCGTATTTATTCCGACGGAAAGCCTTTGTGACTATGCATTTTTATTATTTTTTTATTATTTATTCAAAACGTCGAAACGGAAATAATTTGAAGACACATTTAATACTTTAGCATTTGTAACTGTATACATATCTTACAGTTGATTTTATCAATTTATCTTTGGCTACGTTTTCGGAATACAACAATAATGAACACCTATATAAATGTAGCCTTATAGGAAAAACTGGCAAAATAGTTTTGCTTAGGACATTGGTATTTGAAATTTAATTGTAAAATATTCTAAATTTCTATATATTTCAGGAATGAGATTACCATCACAGCAGTACAGCCAAAGTTCAACCTGCGACCGGAAACCATACTTTGGCTATGGAACCAACTCCATGAATACGTCATTAAATCATACACCATACTATGAAAAATGTGTCATGTAAAACAAAGGATATTTCGGTATAAAATATATAACGAAGAATACCAGTAAAATCAGCCCGTACGGAACACGATGTATTTGATTTAATTGATTCATTGACCAATTTGAAAGAAGATTTAGTTCCATTGTTTTACATCACCAAAGTGGACTTTATCGTGAAGCAAAATGAAGAATAGAACGGTAACGCAAGTGTTCAAAATATGAATATTGTTTTATATTATGGTACTCTTTTCTTTTCAAGTTTCCTGGGTTGTAAACGCGACTGGAACCAACAACAGACTTTAAATTTAGTAACACTTTGGTTGTCTGTGTAATGTTTTTGTTTTAATTTGATATTTTATATAGAAATCGTGAAAATGAAATTATATATAAAATCCATGACAACTACGTAAAGCACCAAGGAATGGCAATTGTTTCATAATTATACACATCAGCATGAACAGAACATCTAAAACTGTACTACATACCTTTAGCAATGTTTTTGAGTTTTCAGGCATTTTATTTTTATACAATAGAATAGACGAAAATCCCGCAAATGGAAATATTTGGCATTTAGACATTTCTACAACAAATTGAATCAAAAATCCGGCAACGGACATAGGAAATAAGACTGTACGAACGGGATTTGCATTGCACAATGTATCTGTTTGTATATGAATTATGCTAACAGAAAACTAGGCATATACTCTCATGAAGGAGATTACTTTTCAGAACACAAAGTTCCACTGTTTCCTTATTGTTACATCAGTGCAAAGAGGTCGTCGTCGGAATTTAGAATGATTAGAAGAAAAACAAAAACATGTTAGACAGAATAAATAGGAGTTTTAAGTATAAATATGCACAAAAATGGATTAACATTTATTCAACGCATTAATATGCTCAATATTTTACAGAAACAAAAGCCATAAAACAAAAAGTTTTTGCAATGTAACAATATGTCAAACTTTTTACTACAACTTTTATGTATATTAACATGTTTTCATATTGTTTTCGTTTTTGACATTTTTTTACATGTGCTGCTGAAATTTCGTCATTGATTTTGTATTTTTGTATAAGAACCATAGTTCATTATATTTATTGTTTATTGTCTTAAAAAGTCTATGCATACATGTTTACATATTGTTGTAAATATTATATGTTATTGTATTGACATGATATGTTTGTCCTCATTTTACCACTGACGTAAAAATATTTAGCACAAAAGCGATCCATTGGAAACGTTAAAAACAGCAAAACAACATGAAAATTACAAACTCGGATTGATTGAGTCTGTACATGAGTCTTTGATGGTTTTGCTATATTTTGTCAAACATGTAAAAAGATTGATAATATAACAATTAAACAAATGTTAGTAAAATTAAAATTACCTGAAAAAGAGAGATCCTTTTAGAGCAATAAAAACAAAGATATAAAAGTGAAAATTGCAGACTAGGTTTTATTGAGATATAATGAAATTGTAATATATCTCAAGACTCCCGCCCCCGCACCTGCTTAAGGAGTATTTATTTTTTCAATACGAATATTAATTTGCATAAATTATCCTAAGAGACCAGAAAATTTAAAACAACACCGAAGAACGCGGAGAAAAAGACAGAAAGACTGCGGTAAGAAATTAAGAATAGAAAAGCTTAAGAACGGAAGACATTCGGGATATAGAATTAACATTATATCCAAAACAAACGGCAACGAATGTAGAGTCCTGGGTTTTTATGAAATTGTATTAGCTCAAACACAAATATCAGGTATATTGAGGAGAAAACATAAGTTCTGGTCAAACTTCTTTCTCCGGTTTTAATAAATGTACACCGCTTTTCAATTATTTTATCTGTTTTTGTTACATTTCTCACAATTAAAAATGAGATTATGGAAAAAACGGATTGAGCAAATGATCTGAAATTTTGCACACAAGATATTGGCCTAGACCTACATTATATGGGCAATTTATTTTTGAAAATTATTTCCAGTCCAGTCATGTAAAAATAACTTCAGTGGAGGCTCTTAAAGGTGCATGCAGTAATAATGGCCTACATGTGTTATCAGTGTATGCCGACCTGTTCACCACTGCAAGGGCTTTATAGAAGAGCTTGTGTCTGCTCAAACGGTAAAAGGTACATTTAGCCTCGGAAATGAATAAGCTTTTATTCTCTCTTTCTGTATGTGTTTTGTAATGTACTATGGTTGGAAAACGGCATTGAATGTGAAGTAACTTGTGATAAAAGTTGTGACAAAGGTAGCAAAATGTTAACAAAGTAGTACTTTGACTTCCATACACACGGTGTACTTAATAATTATCACTAAAATTAATTTCCAAAATGAAATTAAAATTGACTAAAAAGATGGCTCAGTTTCATGGCAAATGAGTAATGTTTGAAATCTGTAACAAAAAAGAGCTTTTGAAAAATAATAATAAAATGATAATAAAAAAATACCATATTTAATCTTAAAAGACCATTAACATCTAAAAGTCTTCAATCTTATAGTATACAGCAGCGCAAATTGTTTCCATGCTCATTATGTCACAGAAATGCTTTTTTCTAAAAAGCTTTACATCTGGCGCCTTTTTATAGTTTATTAATAGTTACTAATTGGCCAATTACCTTAACCATCTTTTTCTTCTGTTGTTCTTTGGCAATCAGTACAGTTATAGTGATTTATGATTTTGTATGGAAGTCAAAAGACTAATTTGTCCACATTTTGCTACCTTTTTTTGACAAACAATTTCATATATAGCTTTACTTTCTTCAGGCTACAAGCATATGTCATGCCCTAACACCAGTATTTAAAGGTTATTAAATCTAAGCTTGCCCTTTCTGTATAAGACAAATTTTATACGTTTCTTTGGCAAAATGTACCTTTAATAATGTACTGTATTAAATACATCAGACATTGAATCAAAATTGGCAAGTTCATTGCCACTCTTTGTTACAAGTGTGATAAAAAACGGATATCACACGTGATATAACACGTGTTGTAACACGTGTTGTGAAGGGGTTACTTTGAACACAATACACCTTATAAGCTTGTGTAAGTATTTTCTCTATTTTCTTTCAAAACAAAACTGCTGAAATTTTATATTTATCGGTAGAGCATTGCTCTTAGAAACCCTGAATCTTATCCGGAACATTTAAGATTACTCACACTAGAAAAACATTAAGTGATTCTAGTCATAATCTACATGAAATGTTTTCATTTTGTCTTCTAATCACATACGTAGAGTATAATAGCCTTAAACAAACATTTTACTGTCGGAAACTGCTGAACGCGGGCAAGTTTTCCCGTTCTGAACAAATAAAAATTTGTCAGTATAGAAGAGAATGCGAAATTTGATCACAGATAAAACAGGGTTCTACAATAAAGCATTCGTTGTGTGTGGGCTTATATAACGCTGTACAGACGTAAGACAGTAGGGCTTGGTTGCATTGGAATGAGTTAAAAACTCGGAACAAAATGCAGGGAGTTGCAGCAGAAGATCGCGCGGCTATAAGTCAGGTAAATTACTCATTATCTGTATCGATACTACATGAGCTATACGGATGATTTATCTCAAAATATATACGTTTAGTGTGAGACAAAAGTACGCCGAAACATGGCAGACGAAAATAAGTAGATACTGAGCAGATGACAATATGTTATTTATATGTAATAAAGTAGCAGACGACAAAATGTCATTGATAAGTAGTCGACAATATGTAATCAAGAACCAGACGACAATGAGGATTACTGAGCAGGCGGCGATATGTAGTTAGCAAGCAAACAACAATACTGACTGATATACAGACGATAATGTCTAACGAATAAATCGAGGACCATATGTGTAAAAAAGACGACATAATGTTTTAATGTGCAATGCATTGAATAAGCAGACGAAAATTTGTAATTGATAAATAAACGACAATATGTAATTAATATATAGACGGCACTATGTAATTAATAAGCAATGTAATGATAACTGTATTTAGCAGACGGCAAAAAGTAATTGATTTCCAGACGACAATATAAATAGACAGACAACAGGATTAAATTAGTAAGCATACGACTATTTGTTATCAAGAACTAGACGACAATGTGAAATAAGTACATGTAAATGGACGGCAATGTGTAATTTGAATGCAGACGACAATATGATTTTCATTAGCAAACGGCAACATGTGACTGATAACAGACAACCATTATAAGTTCACATAATTGATAAGCAGGCGACACTAAGAAATTTATTAAGGAAATTTATTTTGTATTTTATTTATAATACGTATGTTGATGTCTTCAGAAGTTTGCCATCAATGACAACCACACTAGAAATATATGAAATAACTTTTATAATGTTTTATATGGTTTTGCATAAAAGTAGGGACATGCCCTGTAATTTATTTGAAATAAATTAAAGTGGTAATTTTTGACGACGATTGTTTTATGCCGAAAAGTTTATAACATACAAATTATTATATATCAAATTGATAAAATCTGTTTCACATAATTATCAAATTGATAAAGCGAATATTCTATAGAACAATATTTTCTTATTTATTTTTCGATGAATCCCTAAAATGGCAACGTTAAAGACTGTACATAGTATTTCTAAACTTTCGTAATAGTGTTTCCAGCCATGAATACATAGTACCTAGTCGCTTCTAACTAACTTAACTTTAAAGTAATACAGTAAACACACACTTAAGGTGGTTTGCTGTAAAATTGTAAAGCTAATGCAGTAAGTAAAACAAAGTCTGTACAATATTAATATTATACGAAAATTCATTCAAATGAATATGAACGCTGGACAGACCCGTTTAAGAAGTTCATGTGATTAAAGGTAAACAATTATGTTGACCCAGGTTTATACGTACATTAACTATTTACGTAATAATATATAAGTGTTGCATATTCATTTTATATCAAATTACTTTCATATTTTACGGATCATTCAGAACAAGAAAATAACAAAAAATTGTTATAACCATTTGAAATTTAATCTAAATTATTTTCAAGGTAAACCTTATCGCAAAAACTATATTTGATGTTGCTACATTTGAATGCGTATACGTGTATATGTTTTATCAACATCAAAAGAGTGTTTGAATAGTTTAAATATTTCTTAATTTCAAACGCTTTTTAAAACAGGCATAATAACGTCACAGCAACATGTTTCTCCTAGAGCCCGAGCTAGATAACATGTAAAGGAAAAGTGGCATAAATTCAGATTGTCTTTATAAGGAATTACATAGTATATAATTGTACACCTAATTAATCATCCATTTGAGTGTTTCAAAGTGCATACGTATCGGCATAGTCTGTCTGTTAAAAAAAGAAAATCCTGGACTTGGTTAAAAGCATGTCGTTAATGCGGATCTTTAATGTTATTTTCCTAAATTCTATGACGTCTTCAACATTTTTAAGGAAGACAATTCACACCACGAACTCTTGACAACAATCTTTACCAATCTTGTTAGCTCTAGCAGGCAGCTTCTAGTCTATGTATCTAGTAAAAGAGTGTAAACCGTTTCACTTATGCAGGTGGAAATAAAAAAAGCAATTAAAGTACAATAAATTCGTTTAATACATGGCTTTGTATACCACCCACGAAATAAAGTATGAAAGTGTAATTGGTTCTGACAAATGACAAGGTATTATCTTCACGTTGCAGTATACTTACATCAACGATATCGGTTTAAACTGAAAAATACACGCACTTTCATACAACACGTTCTAGATGCACGTTCTTAGTGCACGTTCTTGGCGCATACAACACATTTAAGACGAACGTTAGTTCTATAAGTTTAAGACGCACGTTCATAAAACCTGTTCTAGTTTCACGTTCTTAGTGCACGTTCTTGACGCGAGTTCATACAACATGTTCTAGTTGTACGTTCTAAGTGTACTTTCTTGATGCACGTTCATACAACATGTTCTTGTTGCACGTTTTTAGTGTACTTTCTTGACTTACGTTCATACAACATGTTCTAGTTGCACGTTTTTAGTGTACGTTCTTGACGCACGTTCATACAACATGTTCTAGTTGCACGTTCTTAGTGTACGTTCTTGACGCACGTTCATACAACATGTTCTAGTTGCACGTTCTTAGTGTGCGTTCTTGACGCACGTTCATACAACACGTTCTAATTCACGTTCGTAGTGTACGTTCTTGACGCGAGTTCA